AGGGTACTCAGTCAGGGAGAATAGCTGGGGACCCATCCCATATTCTTTGTGGTAAGATGTCCAGGGCAGTATGTTTCATAGGCCACGGTGCCAGCCACTTAGGTGTTTGTTCAAAGTCCCAAGTTATGAGTTAAGACTAGCTAGGCCTAGTTTTAGCCCAGGCACGTGGTTGTAGTACAAATGAGGTGGTATCTTGAAAAGTCAGGCCCGGGGCCATGCCCTAGCTGTAATCATGGGACGTGTTTTTCAAAATTCTCAGAGCCTCAGTTTCCTCATCGTAAAGGGAAGAGAATAGTAATGCCACTTTTTTTTTTTGGTGAGGCAATTGGGATTGTGACTTGCCCAGAGTATTATAAGTATTATGTGTCAGAGGCTGGTTTTGAACTCAGGTCCTCCTGACCCCAGGGCCAGTGCTCTATCTGCTGTGCCACCTAACTGCCCCAGTAATGCCACTTCTCAAGGCTCTTCTAGCCCTTAAAATATTCTAGAAATGGTGATTGTTAGTCCTTCGAGGAGGCACTGGAGGCTTCTGGGATTGAGACCCTCTTCTTCATTAATACTCCCGGTCAGATTTCATAGCTTCCTCTTCAGACTCTGACATTTCCTCCTGGATTGGGCAAGGAGACAGAAATGGTGACTTCTAACATTAACAATTCTTTCAAATCTGAGGCCTTGGAAGGGCCTTTTCTTTGGGTCTTGGTTTCCTCCTCTTTAACATGACTCAGTTGGGCCAGATACTCTCTTAGCTTAACATCCTGTGACTGTCATTTAGAGCTGGGGGCAGCCTGTTTCTCCCTCTTAGCTTAGACTGGAACCTTCTGAAGGGGCCTGAGTCACTGTCTTCCCTCCCCCCTTTCACCCCCCCCCAAGATTCTTCCTGATAAGAAGACTTAGTGAAAATACTTGGGTTATGGAATTTTTTGTTTCTTTCTGGGAGTCGCACCCTTTCCTATGTTCCCTCCCCTTCCTCCTAGGTCTCTTCTCTCCGTGGACTCCAGCCAGTCTATCTTGCTGGTAAGGGGTGACTGTGGCCCCCTTTGCCTCTCCCCATCTCTGCCTCCCCAGACTCTAAGAAAAATAACTGGTGGTAGTCCACAGGATTTCATTTCCATATAAGGAAGTGCCATTGGAAGGGTACCCAATGAACCTTTCGGCTGGCCAGTTTGGAGCGGTGCCTGAGGAGCAGGATGCTGCTGGGGGCCAACGCCCAGGTTAGGGGTTGGCTGGCTCGGCGGATGTCTCCAGATTTGGAGTCATTGTAATGTCAATGTGGGTTTGGGGAATGCTAATGTTTGTTCTAGGCTGTCTCTTCCTGCCCTCTGCTGCCTTCTCTTGTTCCTCTTTTCCGGGCTTTTCAGTCCTATTGTCAGTCCCCAAATAGATTTCCTTTTAGGACAAAGTTGCTTTTCAGGACTAGCCCGAAACATTGTGAAGGAAGGAGCCCATTAAGGAAGGGAGCTGAGAAATTAGTGCCCATTAAGGTGTGAATGACCCATGAAGCAAGCGGGTATTCCTTCCACTTGGCTTCCCCACCTTCACTTTGGTTGGTGGGTTCTGTTGGTCGGGTTTTAAAAACTGGGCAGAGCCTTAAGGCAAAGAAAAGGTGGCAGTTAGAATCTTAGGCATTGGTGAACTGGGGCCAGTGTGGATTCAGGGAGACAGTCCAGCTCACCCTAGCCAGTTAGCTCCAGAGTGGAGACTAGACCCTAGATGGCCCAGCATTCTCATCCATTACATCACCTGGCCTGGCTCTCTGGCTCTAGATCCTCTTTCTCTGTCTCTTTGTCTCTGTTTCTTCATCTCTGTCTCTCTCTCTTTCCCAGCTTCTGCCCTGCCCGGGTGCCCTTACAGCTATCGAATTCCAGAGGAAAGAGGCAGAGGGAGACTGCTGTTCGGCCCTGAGTTGAGGATACAGATGTTGCTGGCTATTCCAGAGGCCCCTCCAAATGGCCAGCAGCTCCATGTTGCCAGAATCTGGGAAACTAGAAACTAGATGGGCAGACTCTCCAACAGAGAGCAGAGATTCAGGGAGCCTGTTGTAGAATAAGCACATAAGAAAATATGGCAAGACTCTGCCAACCTTCAAGCCCTCTATCAATCAGTGGAAGGTGCCGTGATGTAGTCAAAAGAGCCCTGGCCCTAGCATTTGGGGGACCTGGGTTTGAAGCCCAACTCTGATGCTTCTGACCTGTGAGACCTTGGGCCTCAGTTTCTCTAACTGTAAAATGAGGAGCTTGGATTCTGTGGCCACTCAGGTCCCTTCTAGCTCTGCAATCCCACGTGGCCTTGGGCAAATCAATTTATGTATACAATAAATGTGATCTCCTCAGGGGCTGGTGGTATTCTTAGCTCTGGTGTCTGGTACATGGTGTCAGTGTCTGGGTACTGACAAGTTAGTTTTCCTTTGGGCTCTGTTTCCTCTTGTCAGATGACGATGCAGCATTGACTGACGTAGGTGACCTCTGAGCCCTATTCTTAGTGTTCTCGTGTGTAGCTGAAGAGGTTGAATTGATGGCCCCCTGAGGTCCCTTCTGCTCTAATCTAGGCTCCGAGGTGTGACCTAGGCATGAGGACCCACTTTGCCCCGTATTCTGTACGTAACCTTGGGGAAGTCACTTCTCTTTGGGCCTTGGTTTACCCCTTTGTAAGATCCCTTTCAGCTTTAGATTCTGTGACCTGAGGCTATCTAGACCAGTGGTGTCCAATAAAAACAGGCACCACCAAACTGGACAGAAGTATCCCTGAAGGCTGCCAGTCAACTTGGAAAGCCACATATGTCTATAGCTTTCTTTTTCTACTAATAGGCCCACACATTAAAATCCAGTAGGAACCCTTTTTAATATGGTTGGGGCCCGAATGGGAGTGTCGTGGGTCTCACGTGACCCCTGACCCAGAGGCCCTGAGTTTGACAACTGGTCTAGTTGGGCCCCCACAGGCGGGAATCCCTTTCTTAATCCCTTCACAAGTGGCCATCCTCCTTCCGCTTCCTCACGTCCAGTAACAGGAAGCCCGCTACCACCTCCTTATATGGAGCTGAAAGCCTGTCCATTACCTCTACTTATTGTTCCTGGAGCTACCCTCTGGAGCCAGGAAGAGCAAGGTCACTCCCCTCCCAAAGCCTTGCTTGGACATCTATCTTCTCATGGCTGAACACCCCTCCCTCCCAGTTCTTTTCAACTGAGCCGTTATTACTGAATTAATAATTACGAAGCAATTATTCCTTGGACCCTAATGCCTCCCCCACAAGAATCCCCAGGCTTAATCAAGCATAACATTGCCTATAAGACTAAGTCTTCACTTCTAATGAAGAGATGAACTCCAGACCAGGCAGGCTACCCTTTCAAAACTCTTAAGTCAGCCCCACCAATTTGTGTCTTATCCTACTGGGGCAGCAGTGGGGTTACTCCCAGCCCTGGGCCTTAGGGGTCAAAGTTCAGCTGTGAGTATTACCCCTTCTCCCTTCTTCTAGGAGTGTTTGTTTTACAAGGTATAGTCAAGGTGGGTTGTGCTGTTAAATTAAGCCACCCAGAGCTTGTTTCAGAGGTGGGGAAGTTTCTAGGGTAGGAATTCCTACCCTGGGGCCCATGGACTCCTAAGGAGCCTATGGTTAGATTTCAGGGACTTTGTAAACTTAGGTAGAAAGAGAAATAGTGTCTTTATTTTCACTTACCCTGAAGCGAAACTTAGCATTTCCTTCAATTATTTAGAAACCTGATTCCAAGAAGGGATCTGTCGAGGTCACCAGACTGCCCAAGGGGGCCATGACACACAAAAAAGGCTCAGAACCCCAGTCTAGGGGAAGACAGCTTGGAGAGGGAGGATGGGAAACCCAATTGGTAGAAGCTCAAGATAGGCCCCCCAAAATCTGTGTAATAGAATTTCCCCCTCTGTCCCCCCATAAATTCCCTGATAGATGCTCCCTGGGTGTGTAATCAGCTCTCATTCAGTGGAATCAGGAGGACTCGACTTTGAATCCTGCCTCAGATGCTAGTTGTGTGGCCCTGGGCAGGTCATTTAACTTTTCTGGACCTAGTGTCTTCATCTGTAAAACTAAGGGGTTTGGACTCAGTGACTTTCCATCTCTAAAACTATAATAATTTGATCAATATAGGGAGGGAAATAGTATCTTAAGAGATTCCTGATCAACATTTAGATCAGGATTTTTCCAGCTGCCAGACATAGGAATTAGAGACGAGAATCCACCCCCTTCGTTTTATAAATGGGATACTGAGATCTAGAGAGAGGAAGCAGTTTGTCCCTAGAGTGAGTAGCAGGGCTGGGCTTTGGGCATAGGTCTCAGAATCTTCAGAGTCGGAACAGACTTGAGTGCTTGGCTGGTCAAACCCATACCTGAATCTCCTCCGTGATGTGTACCTGATTCAGTCATCTAGCCTTTGCTTGGAGAATTCCAGTTGTCTTTGTGGTTTGTGATTTTTCTGGGGTGGCCAAGTACAAGATGATGGCGGCACGGCTAGACACCATGAGATCTGGGGAGGAGGGTGGAGTCACAATGTGACATGGCAGCCCTGAGGACTGACGGGATCTTGGGAGATGGCAGAAGAGACATGGCATCTAGGTGACTTGGTTCTGTTCAGGACTTCTTGCAGCCCCTTTTTTGGGGAGAAAGACATGGATAAGCCGGAGAGTGTCCAGCAGAGAGCAGTTGGGATGGGAAAAGTCTGCATTTCGTTTTTAACGAGGATTGATTAGTTAAGGGAGTTTGGGTTGGTCTGTCTGGAGGAGAGGCACCTTGAGGGTGGGGTATTCAAAGGTTCCTGATGTAGAAGAGGGATTGCACTTGCTCTGTTGGGCCCCAGAGGACTCGAGTGGGGAGCCAAGGCAGAGAAGTTTTGTTGCCGTTTAATGGCTTCTTCATTTACATAATTAATGTCATTGTGCATGTTGTCCTTGAGGCTCTGCATTCTGCCCACGTCATACAAAGACAGACCCTTTACCGGAGCCAGACTAACCACCCACTCTGTGCGTGTGTCTTTTTGCAGATCAGCGTTCGGGTGACCACCATGGATGCCGAGTTGGAGTTTGCCATCCAACCCAACACCACTGGGAAGCAACTCTTCGACCAGGTGAGCTGTTTGTCCCTGTCCTTCCAAGGGTTCTGGCCGTTCCCCTTGAGCAGACACTGGGATGGTGTAGCTTTGGGCCATCTGGGTTGGGTTGCATATGAGCCAATAATGCTCTTTCCTCTCTGGTTCCATGTTCCCCACTGCCACCTTGCCTGCAATTAGCCAGAGCCTGGGCCCTGAGGATAGAGAGCCAGAGAGGGTCTGAGAAATCTTCTTGTCCAGCCCCTCTCATTCTACTCTCAGAGAGGGCAATTTGAAATGTATGTAGCAGAGCTGGGCAAAATGGGGGGATTTGTGAAGTTCGATCCCTTCCTGCAAACTTGGGGTCCATTCTCCCCAAGAAAATGGGATCTGAGCACTTGATTTGCTTGTGGGTTTATTCTGTATATTCTTGTACATTCTTTAAAATGTTTTATTGATTCTTCCCCCCCCCAATACCCAATCACTTCCCAATAACCATGGCCAATCCACCTTAACTCATGGCAGCCTTCCTTATAACAAACAAAAACAAAATTTAGCAAAACTTGGAGGCCTGGCAGAATTCTAGAATGGGTTATTAGTGAATGTCTAGAAAAGGAAGCAGTGATTACAAAGAGCCAGCCTGGCTTAGTCAAGTCATTTTGCCTCCCTGGCCCTCAGTTTCCCTTTCTGTAAAATGTGAAGGGATTAGACTATCTGGCCCTTGAGTTCCCTTCCAGTGCTAGAGCTAGGATCGCATGACAGAGATGTGAAGATCCACTGTGCTACTAACTGCAGATATGACCTTTGGTAAGTCACTTCTCTTTAGTCCTTGGTTTAGGGGCAGCTAGGTGGTGCCGCAGTGGATAGAGTGCCAGGCCTAGAGTCAGGAAGACTCATCTTCCTGAAATCCAGTCTGACCTCTGACACTTATTAGCTGTGTGACTCTGGGCAAGTCACTTAACCTCTGTCTGCCTCAGTTTCCTTCTCTGTAAAATGAGCTGGAGAAGGAAATGGCAAACCAGATGGGTCATGGAGAGTCAGACATGACTAAAAATGGTTGGACAATAATAAAATGACCCCTCTTCAGAGAGGAGATTAGATAATATTCTTGAGGTCCCTTCCAGCTTACAGTTACAGATTCTATTCTGTAACCTTGGGCCATTTGGGTGAGCCCCTGGAAGCAGGAAGGCTGCTTAAACCCTTTGACAAGTCTGGCCATACCCAACTGATCTCATTCCCTGGAACAGAAAATCGAGGGACTGCTATAGAGATAAAGATCACCTTAATTTTAGGGAAGCTTTTCATAAAATCTCTCATGCATTTCTTATGGGAAAAATCAAGAGAGATGGGGCTAGCAAAGAGTTCACTTTCAATGGCTTTGGAACTGGTCTAATGACCTGACTCAGCGTGCTCATTAACAGTCCAGCAGCAGCTTGGAAGAAGGTCGCCAGCAAAGTGCCTGAGGGAACTTGGTTCTGTTCTGTGGGGCTGAACACTGGGGAAAGACCCAGACAGCATCCTCCTCAGGGTCACAGATGATGTAAACTTGGAACAGATGGCCCACAGAAAAGCATTAGCCAAATCTGATAAGGTGAAACTCACTAGGGGTTAATGGAAAATCTTACACTTGGGTTCAAGAAATCAACTGGAACAGGATGGGGTAGGGGAGGAGGCCTGCAACAGATTGTCTGAAAAAGATCAGGGGATTACAGTGGCCTGCAAGCTCAGTAGGAGTCAGTGGTAGAACATGGCAGTCCTGAGAGTTCATTCCGTATTGAGAGAAATAGCCTCCAGAAGTAAGGAGGCAATCATTAGTCAGCTAGGGGAGGGTTGTGTTCTGGATGCCATAATGGAAAAAGGATATGAATAAATGGAGAACAGGCAGGGAGTGGGGGGAGACACCATGTGAAGACTGGCTGAAGGAACTGGTGATGTCTGCCCTATAGAAGGGGAGCCTGGAGGGGAAATGTGCAAAGGTGCCTTTGAAGAGCCCTCCCGGGAAGAGGGAGCTCTCTGGGTCTGTTTGCGTGGGGCCAAAGACTGGAAATCAGAGAGGTCAATTTTGGCCCAGTATCGGGAGAATGTTTCTAACGATCCCCAGCTGTTGGGAGTGTGGGGCGGCTGCTCCTGGTCCCTACTGAAGATGAAGGTATCCCGGGCACCCTTCCTCAGGGCACCCACACTGGCAACACTTGTTTTCTATTCAAAGTTTAGTAGAGGAGACTCGGTTTTCATTTTTTTAATGAAATAATATTAATTTACTAATAAACCTTATACTCAACATTGCCACAGCCACTTAAACTTGTTTAATAATGATTTACTTTTTTAATTTATTGGGGGCAGACATGCAGTTTCATTGGTAGAAGGAATGCCCACCTAGGGAGTACTACCAAAGTAGATCTGTACCTGCTAACGAGCTTTCTGGGCCACGGAGAAATCAAGTGACTTGGCCAGGGTCACATAGCCAGGATAGCAGGATTTGAACTCGGGTCTCTCTCATTGACTGAGGCTTTTAGCTACTAACCCAAACTACTTTTCCATTTAAACTGAAAGCATAAAGTATCATAACTTTTTATTTATTTTTCTAATTTATTATCTATTTTTCATTTATCCTTTTTAAAAAATAAGTATAACTTTTCAGTCCTTTGGGAGCTTATGTTTTCTATCCCTGTCGTCCCCCCCCCCCTTTCTAATTTGGACTATCCCTAATTCAGGCCCAGAAGATCAGAGTATTTTAGGATTTAGAGCCAGAAAAGACCTTAGAGATAACCTGTTTCAGCACGCAAGTTTTACTGAGGAGGAAACTGAGGTCCAGAGAAGAGAGTTCCTTGTTCAGAATTGCCCCCTGGGGGCAATCGGCAGAGCTGAGTTTTGAATCCAAGCCCTCTGACTTTGAGGTTGTTTAAATCTTTCTACTACCTCTTAAAAAGCAGAGCTGTGTCTTGGAGGTCTCCTAGCCGCCTTTGTAACCTTCGCTACTCAGGGACCTGTTCTTCTCTGGTAGGGGACAAGGAAAATGGCTGACCCAGGTGAGTCTTCCCAGTCCACAGTGAGCCTGGCAGTAGGGGCCCAGGCATAGGACTGGGCAAGCTCCCTTGACAGGAGGCTTTTCTGGGCCTGTGCTTGGGCCCGGTGGAAGCAGCAGGCCTATGGTGGCCAGCTTGAGGGGGCTCGCAGCCCCAGACTGCATTCCAATGGGCAGGCGAAGGGGAGGTGTTGGCCTCTTCTCAGCTAGGATCCCGAGTGGGTGCGGGGGCTGGAGGCTAGCCCTTGTCCAAGGGATGACAATCCCTTGCCTGCAACAGTGGGTGCTTTGTCCATCAGACACTGATGGGGGGGGTGCTTGGGAGAAGGAGAAAGATGTGGACGGGGGCCCAGGGTAGAACTAGTCTAGAAACAATGAAGGGTCTTAACTTGGAGTCTCCCCTGTTCTTCCTCTCTCCTCCCTCCCTCTACTATGATGCTACTGGGGCCTTGGAGTCCCATGTGGGCTTTGTTTCTGAAAAGGGTGTGGCTTAGCGGAAAGCCCAGAGGTTAGCGACTGTGCCCAGAGCTCAGCTCCCCAGACGGCCCAGATGTTAGCCTCAGCTCTCCATTCATCCTTCCAAATGGAGCCCAGCAAGCTCAGGAACTGCCTCTGCTGGGGCCTGGTGCTCTCACAGGGCGCCTTTGTTCAGGGTGATGGTACCACTCCAGAGACAGCCAGAGTTAGGAGACAAACACCCGTTTCCTGGGTCTTTCAGACTCCAAGTCCAGCTGTGGTATAGACCTGGCAGGCACCTCACTGAATCCAAAGCCTTCATTTTACAGGTGAGGAAACTGAGACCCAGGAAGGGGAAGTGAAGGACCCAGGACCATGCAGCTAGTATGTCTATGAGGTGGGATTTAAACCCAACTCTTGCTGATTCCAAGACCCACTATGCTGCTGTATTGCTCTTTCTAAGAGGGTGTGTAACAAATATGAAGGTGTTTTAAATGAATAATTAAAAATTATTTTTAATCGGCAAAAACGAATAAATTAATCTTATTTAAAAGCACTGAAAGAATAAACAGATAAGAAACAAAAAATGAATTTGTTCTGTGTCCCCTTCCAAGTCAGTCTGACATTCGACTTCCTGGCATCCCATCTCCCTCTCCCCCTCCCAGTCCCAATTGGCATCTCTCCCTGTGTGTCTGGGAGCATTTTATAAACTGTGACTGGAGGCTGGCCTGGCGATGCCCCTCCTACCACTGTGGACAGCCCTTTTGGGTCTAATGGTGGCCTTCTCTCTGGGCTTCAGGCTTTACAAAGCACTTCCTCCCCCCGTGGCCCTGGGAGATCATTGCATTCACCTACAGGCAGTGTGTGGTGGAGTGGAAACAGTCCCAAGTTAGAGTCCCGGCTTCGCTACCTATGGGTTCATGGGATTTTGAACCAGAAGGGGCCTTAGTTCATTTGGTCTTACTTCCTTATTTATCGAGAAGAACAGAGAGCCTATGGGAATAGGGGAAGGCCCTGTTATATGTGTAACCCCATGGGACCCCGGCCAGTTGCTTCCTCTCCCTGGCCTCAGTTTCCTTAATCTGTAAAATGAGGGGATTGGAGCAGAGCTCAAAGGCCCATTCCAGCTCTAAATCTTGTGCTCATATGATGAAGTGGGAAATAAGACATCTTCCATCTGTCAGGCCCTTGGCGGGCTTGGGGCCTGGGATGGAGAGGGCTGCCCAGCCAGCTGCAGTGTCGAGGTGTTGACAGGCAGTGGGTCCTTCCTGGATCCCAGCAACTGTCTGGACAATGACCAGAACAGGAAACAGAGAACAGAGGAAGGGCTCTGCTTGGCACTGGCAGTTTAAATAACAGCAGCAGGGGGAGGCCAAGCCAGGCCATAGTTTGGGGGCACGGCCATGCTACTGTCACAGGCAGGCCACGGGCCTAGGGGACAAAGGCCTTCATGCTGTTGGCCTTAGGAGTGCCCTAGCTGGAGAGGAGACAGAAGCTTCCTTGCATGAATCACTTAGGCCTGTGCCTACAGCCCTCTACCTCCCCCCACCACCCCCCT